TGTGTGTGTGTGTGTGTGTGACCTGCGTGTTTACCCAGGATGTATAGTAGGACCTGAGGTTTACTAAACCAGTGTGTGTTTGTGTGTTACCCCATTGGTCAGCTCTTCTTTCTGCTGTTTCTTATTGGCGAGGTCCTGAATTGCCATCTCCAACTCATACTGGATCATGTCCTGTTTCCTACACACTGACCTGAAAGACAAACAAACATTAGGGTAGAAGAAATGTAGAAATTATGCTTCCACTGCCACAAAAAAAGTATAAGTGAAACAAAGCCAATTTAATCCAGTCAAGGATATGGATAGCTTCAAAATTCAAAAAGGAAACTCCTGCCAGACATAAACGGTGACCAGAGACCTTAACCACTAAGAAATAACCCTCCACTCTAGCACGTCTAGCATTGTTAGCATAGCTGCGCTGTGAGACATAGCTGAGGTGTTTCTGGTTTAATAACACTGTGTTGGGCAGGTGACAGATGACACAGATAAATACCCCTGACTACTGAAGTCACTTCACCTGGGGTGAATGCTGACCTTTACCTTTTCACACTTAAGTCAAAAGCCAGATGTTCGGAGGTCTTGATGTTTTTTGGTCTAGTGTGAAAGGAGCCAAAGCGTGCTGACCTCAAAAGGCCAAGAATCAACTAGCAACACTGTGGATCTGTCAACCTTAATAACAGCATTAGCTAAATTCATGCACTGAACTCTTTCTCCAGAGTTTTTGACACGACTTTGTGTTTCCCTCTTTAACACACTCACTTACCTGACAGCATCAGTGTAGAAGAGGTATTCTTTCAGTTGGTCTGCATAGTGCTCTTCTTCCTCCAGAATGTCATCTATTGATGTAGCAAATCTGTGCACATGCAAAGTCACATTCAATGGTGAACAAATGCAGAAAAAAGACCTGAATGTGTCTGAATTAGGACTTGTTTAGTTGAAAGATCTTACTAAGTGTAAGCATGTGGGAGCATACACTGGTTGAATTGTCCACTACTAAGTCTACTACTTACGTGTCCATGTGGTGACCAGCACTCTGTAGTCCGTCTCCCATCTCTTTCTCAATGGCACTCCACTCACTGGAGACACAACAAATTCAGAACTTTTCTTTTGACTGATCTCTTTTCAGTCTACACAGCATCATCTTTCTTTAAAGTAATCAAAAGAACTAAATAGTATTTTTTGTGCTATCATTTCCTCAATGTATACAGGAAGTGAGTGGAGCAAAAGTAGGTGGATGCAGAATACGCACGCTTTATGTTGTTAAAATGTAGCATCTCTTAGGTTTGAACTGTGATTTTATTCATGTAGGAAGATACAGTAACAACAGAACAGGTGGTTCTCACCTAAAGACTCTGCCATAGTTACCGTGGACCTTGTAGACTCCGTACTGCCTGTCTGCTACTCTCTAGAATGAAGACAACAGAATCAAGTTATGTGCATTGTTATATACTTAAAAATAGCCAATAATTAACACACCTTAGTGGCTATATTTGTTTTTAACAGAGACTCAATTTACTCTCCCTTAATAGGAAAGCTTCACACTACACATCTTGCAGCCTGACAGCTTTGGACTCACTGTGGACAGCTCATGTTACATGATCAGCCAATATGCAAAAACAATGCAAACCACTAGCCAAATCTAAGGGAACAGTTAAATATAGGTGTGTGAGTGTGTTGTGTTGTGTACATGTCAATACTCACCGCCCGCACCCTGAGTAACTGAGAGATGACAGTATTCAGGTCATCGCTGTAGTGTTTCAGTGCTGTGAATTGCCTGGAGAAGACAACACATGGGTCGTAACTCAAACAGTGTTTAAGGGCCTCAAGGCCTTTTCACTTTCCTACTGTTTTACACCTACTTGTCTGGGTTCTTGACCCTAAACATGGCACTCAGAGACTTTAGTCTGGAATCAGCCTGATGGAGAATAGAACATCACATTCAAGTTATGTTAGGGGGAATTATTTTACATTCAGCACACAGGAGAATCTATGAAAAAAAGTGTGTGGACATCATAATTCCCAGTCAAGCAATTTAGCAAGAATAACTAAATGGACGTTTATAAAACAAGATATAATTCATTAAAGCAATGGCAGCGATAAAACACTATGACCACTTTACCTTGTCTTGGAAACCCGTCTCCAAAACTGCATCCTTCCATCTCCTCTCCTGTGGACAAATGATTGACAGATGATCAACAACTAACAGGCGGGATTATCAGCAATACTGTGTACACAGGCGGCCCACCAGCTGACAACTGCACCGCTACAAAGAGAGCATGTTGCTAGAGGCTACAGGGAGACCCTGAGATACAAATCCAGTTTGAGGGTGTTAAAACATGTGAGAGTTAACATATTTCACCAGTCTATAGATGAATAACAAATAAGAATGATGCATGCGATAGCTCTGTGGCAAATATCACAAGGTTTATTTTCCATGAGATCACTGTGTGGGTGCAGATTTCATTGGAAAGGGCTTCAGCGCAAGAAAAACTTCAGCCTTCATTTCTCTCTCAAGACACTGTGATATGCATTTTTAAGCTGGTTTCGTATTTGTCAGTATCAAGGATCTCTCCTACCATTATAAGACTTAGTGCACCCCCTAATTATGTCTGCGCAGCACCTATGCCAAATGAGCGAATGGAAATATGGAGGTTTCTACCACTGTGGGGAGACAGGATACCACGTTGGCCCTCATTTACGTCATTTTTGTGGAGGTTTAAAAACAAAACTGGAGCTAGACTTATATTATAATACTAGACAATTATGTATTCACCAGTGCACCAGTGTTAGTGATGTTTAAAGAGTGTTGTATTATTGGTTATTTGTAGCCAAATGTTGCTAGGGATCAGACGCCGGATATTCTCCTGTAAGTGAGAATTCAACTGTCCAAATCATTTGCTCCAGATATTTTCTGGAACTTTTCCTGCCTCCTGCATGCTCTTCCCTGTCGGACTCAACTGTCCTGACATTTTCCGCAGTTCATGTGTGAAATGGTTTAGGTAAGTGCTTAGTGAGTAAATCAGCCTTAAAAGATTTGGTTTGTCCACTTTCACCCTGCTGGAATCTCTGAGGACTGATGTACCTTGTTGGAGAGGAAACAAATCCATGACAGGTGAAAACTATTTCTGAAAATCTGTCGGGCAACAGCCAATTCTTGTGACAGCCAAGAATTGCGTCTGTCACAGATGATCAGCTCAAGTCTAAAAACTGTCAGAGAAATTGATAACGTGAGAGCAAAGAGAGCGAGAGAAGAACTGACTCGCTACACTAATTCTGTCAATTGACTCCTGGCCCCTGGTAAAGTGAGCTGTCTTCAGGTCCTGTCTGACGACCAAACATTTTGGTAAACAGCCAAACACGATGCCAGATAGTTATGGGGGGGATACGAAAACTGGAGTTACAATCCATGCACTTTTGTTTTCCAGTGTTATTTTGTTTGAACAGTTAGTAATAACTCAAGCTGTTTTCACACATGAACTTCAGAAAATGTCTGGAAAACTTCTTTTCACACATAAAGAACACAGCACTAGTCTGGGTCAGACGCTTTCACAAAAACAGGATAATGTCTCGAACGTTCAGGTGCTGTCGCCTGGGCAGAGCATGCAGGAGTCAGGAGGTGTATAGATTTTGCAGCAGAAAGCAGTGCTTTTGTTTAAAGCGCATCAACACCAGTGTCGTCTCTTAAAGCCAAAAGCGACAGTATCTCATTGTCTCTCCATGTTGACATCTTCATAATCGTCTTCTACTTGTATGGCTCTTCTTTCATCCTGATTTGTGTTCTTCCAATTTTACGCCCGTTTTATGTTAAAAATGTCAGGAAAAAGTTCTGGAAAATATATAGAGCAACTGACGCTGACATTTGCGTTCTCACATACAGCCACTCCAGAAAATGTCTCCAATGCATGTCTGAAAACAGCTTCAGAGGCCTAATAAAAAGTTTCAATTATAGTTGTTTTGCTTTTTGCCCGTGTTGTGTTTTAAAAAATATTGCAATGGAAATGCATAGTGCCTCAGCCCACCAGAAATCCAGAGAAAACCCTGGTATCCTGTAGTAACATCTAAACATCAATTTATCTCTTCGATGAGACATTTAGCAGTATGTGTTTGAACGCTTACCTCTGTGAGAAAGCAGACGAAGATTTCGTCATCAGAAAGGACAGGATGTGATGCAACACGCAACAGGAAGTTTTCCAGGCCGACTCTCCGTCGCTCAACAAAGTCTGGGTCGAGGTTGTCTGCTGACAGCTTGTGCCAAACAAACTCTGCCTACAAGAGACACAACCCCAGAAGAGAGGAGAAAAATACAACACATCAGCTCAAAAGTCACAGCGAGTCACGCCTCTTACTTGGAAGAAACAAATGTCACGGCTGAATGTTTTTCTTTTACAAACTTGCAAGACCTACAAAAAAACCACAAGGATTAATCATGCTTAGTTCCTATAATTCATGTTTTTATTAATGACCACATTTGTGTCTCTCACCCTTTTCTCTGGCAGTGGAGGGATGATGACATAGGGGTAAGTGACCAGGAGGTAATTTCTGAGCAGCTCAAACTCGCTGTAGCGTCTCCACAAAGTATCAGGTGCAGCCGGCGTACCTCCCTCTGGGACAGTTTCAGCTGGCCTACGGACACATGAGTAAACAGTATGTTCATTTGTTCAGAGCACGTTGAGACACAGAAATAGCCAAGCATTACATCTAACTTTGACATTTCAAGCGCCGTATTGTGCGTAGGCCTTGGAAAAATTATAACATGGGCAGTGTGCAAGGACTTCTGCTCACTGCCATTGTTTTGTTTGATCAAATTAAATTAAATAATGTGGGTATGGCATGTGGACAGCAGTGTGGCAGCGCAAATACATAAGATTCTACCTTGTGACAAAAATGTTGCTCTATAATGCAATATTAGGAACATTAATATGAAGCTGACATTATTTTATGCCGTTATGTTGAAATTTCTGTTTTAAGGAAAACAAGGTTTCTACAGGTTTCAACAAGTTACATGTAAAGATCCAGTGTGTAAGGCTTAGGTAGGGAAAGGGATCTATTGGCAGAAATTTAAAGTAGAATAATCCTCATAATGTTTTCACTAGTTCATTTCATCTAAATTGTATGAATTGTAGTTTTCTTTAGCCCAGAAAATACCCTTCATATTTAAATACTTTATATTTACATCGAGGGGATCCTCTCTACGGAGGCCGCCATGTTTTTGACATTAGTCCAGACTGAACAAACTCAACACCTTTTGAGTTTTTATGACAACCGAAGGCTACCACAGGTTCTTTTTCATGTTTGGAAGAGGAGGGTGAGGAGTATTCAGCAGCAACATGCAATTTCAACATAAGATATCACAAAATTCTCCAAACTGTACCTTTGAGACCACATTAAATGAAAATTAAGACCGATATCAACTACAACTGATTTAAAAGAATATCGGTATCCATGCATTACTTACACTTTGCCATATTTGAAGATGAACTGAAGTAGCAGAATCATCTCTCAAACAACAGGCAGTCTTTCCAACAGCCAAGCTGAGTGTCCTGAGATCAATTCTGACCAGGATGTTGATATACTGTCAGTTAGCAGTTTCACGTTGATGTAGTTTGTAGTTGTTTTGTGTGCTAATTTCTGTATTGTTAAGAGAGAACTACAGAGGATGCAAGCTGCCAAAACATTTCTCTTTTCTCCTTTAGCTGGATTAGCTAACTGAAAGATAACATAATGAAGACCTTCCTAAAGAGACCTAGTATGTAATACTTAAACACATTTTAGACTTTTTAGGTCCTAAAATTCAGTATAATCAATTTTAGACTCCTTTAAGAACCCCTCAGTAACCCTGTAAAACAGTAGCATCTGCACCTGCGGCTGCACCTCTTCATGGAACTATTTATCTTAGTTATGTCTTGTGTGTTTTTTAAGTGTACCCTGTAAATGTTATCACTTGACTCTTCTTGTTACCTGGCTGTTTTTGTTTTAGGACAAATATTTAAAACTGGTTGCATATGGCCCTAACACTTGTGTCCGTGGGAAAAATCAACAGTGGAGAACAGGATGCCCCAGTTTGTGACCCACCGTGTTTCTATGAGGTAGACAGTATAGGTTTCCTGCATGTTGACCGTGTTCTTCCCTGTTCTCTTCTCTGCCTCTGTCACATTGATCTCCATTTTTCTCAAAAGAGCTGTCCCTCTTTCCACCATCTGCGGAGAACAGAAAGATTGCGTCAGCATGAGGGAAAAAATACGAACAATTCATTGGAAAGCAGAATAGGAAAGTATATCAGTTTATCAGGGGACATCAGAAAATAGTAACATCAGGTGAATAGACAGGTGTGTACAGGTGTGTGCAGGGTAACAGCGAGAGATTATTAAACATTCCACTCTGGACCTAATCCCAAAAGAAATTCTTATATAATAGACACAATATATAATAGAATACCATGATTAAAACATTAGAGTATTGAGAGTAAAAATAAATAAAGTGTGTGTAAATAAAACTAAAATTTGAAGTGTTAACACAGTAATGCAGAACCAGTGGACAATGGAACTGAGGGTAAAATAAGCAAATTATATGAGACAGTGAAACTAATACTAAACAAAAGTAGTGGCAGTACATAATAATGATAAAAGGAGTAATATGGGATAATGCACATGATATTGGAATACTTTAAAACAGTGATATTACACATGTTGCACATCTGTTATGCACATGAATTGTACATATTGTATAGAATATTGTGTCTGATTATCAGTGATCTGTATCAGAGTATTTAATTCTATACAGATACATTACAAGCGTTAAACAGGTTTGTGTTTTGCTTCTCCTGTTCACAGGGTTGTGACCACAGACTGACCACAGACTGTGGGGTTGTGACCACAGACTGTGGGGTTGTGACAGACGTGTGCAGGTCACAAGACGAGATACAATAACCACAGTGACCTGATGAATGATCGACCTTTGTCTCCTCTGAAACCACGAAGACGCCTCGGTGAAGAGGCTCAGTCCATGTCAACAAAACATTCGCCATCAGACTTGCTAGCTAACAAGCTAAAGGCAGCATCAAAGTTTACACGGTAGCTTCGAACCAGTGTTAGCATTAGCAACTTCGGCTGGCTTCATGACTTTAACGCCAGCTCGCAGAGTTAGCAGCTGAAGCTAGTTTGGGAGTTAACGGTCCAGTAAAAGCTTTTTTAAACTGAAGCTCCGTGTGTCACTGACTCCGCCGGTAGCTAACACAAGTTCTGGCCTGTTTGGAAAAGTTTTCACCGGTAAGAAAACAGCAGTTTCTTACTAATAAACATGTTCATCAGAGAGAAAATCACATGTACGACCGTGTTTATGAAGTTGTTCTCTGATTCCGAGGAAGTCAGGTCGGTGTTTCCGATCACAGCCACTTCGTTGCTCCCAGAGTCAGCAGAGTCAGCAGAGTCAGCCATCATCCTCCCCTGTCAGCTGAGACACGGGGGTGGGGGCTCTGCGCATGCGCGTCTCACACCAACGCTCACTGAGCCCGAGCCCTGTGGATAGAACTAAGAAAATAAAAGATTTGATTGTTTGATCATTAAACTGTTCTCATTAAACTATACATACAATGAATAATAGTAAAGTAAAATACATGTTTTATGTTGATTATTAAAAAGTACTGATTAAATGATACATACAATGAATAATAATAAAAGTAAAATGCATGTTTTATGTTGATTATTAAACAGTACTTATTAAATGATACATACAATAAAACAACAAAGTAAAAAAAAATTTTCGTATCAGAAGGTTAAAAGATTATTAATAGATAACAAAGAAATAAAATAAAGTAAAATAAATCATTATCATTAAACATAATTTTTAAAACAACTTTACAATATTTGAATATTTTGTGTAAGCAATGCTTATTAAAAGTACAATGAAATAAAATACAGTTTTATCGACTAAAAGAATGGTTTTATATCAGCAAATGTTAATAAATAACTGAAAAAATACAATTAAAAAAGGAAAACTAATGTTTTTTCATAAAACTTTAAAATAGTTGATGATCCACAGATATGATCCATAGATATTTGTTAAATGCTCATGGCCATGTGATCCAGTTTTTCTAATCTTAACTGTAAAACATGTTGTGAGATAAACTTTGAAATGAAGATTATATAATGTCTTGATAGGACAGCACACTATAAATTTAAGGAATGAAAAGTTCAGGTGTTTCCAACTTTGCTGTCATGTTGTTTAAAAACAAGAATCAGAAAAATGTTCAATAAATGATGAATTACCTTGATGCGGTGATGTCATTTTGTCCCTCTCTCATTGGTTGTTGATGTTGCGGGCCCAGATGTGAATGAGAGGGATGCGGTATACCTCAGCCCAGTTAACAGCACAGAAACAAGGCCTTTAGTTCCTGTGGTCACGCTTTTGTGCAGCATTTAATGTTTAAAGAGAAGGGTGGAGCAGCATTTACTAAGGAAGCATTTTATATAGATACCACTGGGCATGGAGAGGGATGTTGGAGTGGGATGAATGAAAAAGAGACAAACCAAAGAATGCGAGGGAGGAATTATTTCAAGGGTGAGATTAATTAATATAATGATTGATTATGAAGTGATGACACAGATGCAGGAGGGATGGATGGATGGATGATGAGATGCAGTTTCAGGCAGCAGCGTGTAAGGAAACCCAAAATCTGCACTGTGACCAGCCGTAGTCACAGCAACAGCATAGTTACCATTCTTTTCAGCCACTGACCTCAAACCAGAAATCACCACTTCCTGTCCGCACGCACAGGCACACAGACGCACAAATGCACACACACCCCTAGCACCTAAATGTAATCGGCCATTTGACAACTTTTTAGAGCTCTCTGACCAACGGTCTCGAACAGCAACCCACAATAAGCTATGTACAACATGTGTGTGCGGGTGTTTCTTCCTGTCTTGTCTATATTTGGAGGTCATGATGACTTAAAAATATTGAGTTACTATAATTTAAATGGTTTGTATTATACTGAGTACTTATATTCAAATGCAGGAGACAAACAGCAATGACAACAAAGGATAATAGTATTAATATTACAAAGTTTTTTCATATAAATGGCGACTTGTTCTCGACAACATTTTCACTGTTGTGTTTTTCTGATCAATCATTTCCTGTCATTACATATCTATTGAAGTTTGAGTGATGAACAGCAGAGGGCAGCAAAAACCCAGTAATATTCATGTATGACAGCCTGTACAGTTTTATTATGAGAATCAGTCAGTATTCATAGAACTGCATGATGAGGTTATACCACAGTATGAGTAAGAATAAGTGTAATAGGAATTTTTTGTACCTCAGACATTTGACTTGTAATAGTAACATGGAAATTACTAATGACTTCGGTGAAGGCTTTGCACCACTAAAGTATCCTCAGAAGCTATGACACTGAAGCAGCCAAATGAAAATCAGTCACCTTTAGTAATATGTCCTTAATAATGTTTATATTTATTTTTATATTTACATAATTTTTGGCCCAAAGCCATGGAAATACAGTAAAAGTCATTGTAATCCAATTTGCATATTCACATATAAAATGTCTTTGTAAAATGCAGTAACATGGGGTCCAGGTCAAAGAGAACCTACGAAACTATTAACTGTTATGTGTATTGCTATGAAAATCTAGTTGTATCTGCAAAGCTACTGAACACACATCCCAAGGCCAGGTTCTCCATATCTATAGTGGATAACCATCCATCCATCCATTATCCACTCAACCTTTGAGGGTTGTGGGGGGCAGGATACCCCCTGGACAGGTCACCAGGGGGCTGTAGGAGGAAGCAGGATTACCCAAAGAAAACTGACACAGACACAGGGGAAACATACAAACTCTACAAAGTCAACTGTCAGGTTAAAACATAAAACCTTTTTACTGTGAGGCAACAGTGCTAACCACCACTGTGCTGCTCAGTAGGGGATATGAAGACGTAAAATACTGCAGGTGAGTATACTGCATGGTTGTTACCTCAAAAATAGAAATGCATTCAATGTTTATCCTTGTTTGGTTGAGGTTTGAACCTTGTTACTGTTGATAAGCATCTTAACGTTTCATATCCTCTGCTTTATGTTCACTAACCCAAACATGCACATTTATTTGCATTAGAGAAA